ATACCAGTTTAATTACATAAATATACATGGTGCTTTGGGAAGAGATAGCACCGGGAGAAATGCCAGGTATAGGTGATGGGGAGGAAGGCAGCAAATCACACTGCCATGCGTGTACCCATGCAACAATCCTGCATGTTCCCCGCATGTACCCCAAAACCCAAAATGCAACAAAAAAACAAAAAATACATACATGGTGCTTATAAAAATAAAATGGAATGGATTGAAGGGAGCTCAATGAGACTCACTGTAATTTTTGTGGGGATTTTAGATTGTTTGTAGGAATTTGATAGTTTGTAGAATTTTTTAATATATTGAGATGGGGTCTCCCTATGTTTTCCAGACTGGTCTCGAACTCCTGAGCTCAAGTGATCCACCCACCTCAACCTCCCAAAGTGCTAGGATTACAGGTGTGAGCCACTGCGTCCAGTCCAAATCTGAGATTCATATTCTATAAAATGAAGAATTACAGAGAACTTCTAAGGTGTATTCTGGAAAGAAGACCTTTGCAAAACTAGTCCAGCTAAGCTTTTCGAGCATTTCCTGAATGGCAGTCACTAGTTCTACAGTGGGGAATGGAGTGAGAGTCTGAGCCACCAAGAGATGAAGTGTCCCCCAGCAGAGGTAATGACTAAACCATAATGACATCCCAAGTAAGGGATTTTTGCTACTCTCCAATGCCCAGAGGCTAGAAAAAGGGAGACGTTTCTCTTTTTCTAATTAATTAACCAGCTATATTATATATATTGGGGGTTGACTATGATTCTGAGTTTTAGCCATGTGTTAGGAAGGAGGTGTTATATTTTGTCTGGATGAGTAAATTTAAATACAGACATGCCGAACGGTAAATTTCATCTGGGATGTTACTGATCCAGGGGTGCCAGCTGGCATTATGCAGTGGACATCTAGGTCAAAACATTGACTGTTCTGCAATTATGGCACTCACATGTCTCAGCTGCCTTTCAGCTAGGCAGGGCTTTGGCCAGTCATCAGCCAGGAGGCTGAGGTGGGAGAATTGCTTGAGCCTGGGAGATTAAGGCTGCAATCCGTGGTGAGTAGAAATGATTGCATCAAAGTCCAGACTAAAACATATGAAAAGGTTGTGAGTTCTCTGCGCACTCTATTCTTCAGTGGTACAGCGGAGGCTTTTCCCATGTTGCAGCCACAAGATGTTGGGGCCTGAGTTCTTCAGCAGCTGTGTGGAGCAAACCCCACAGTGACCCTCAATGGACACAAAATATAAGAAATAAGGCTGGGCATGGTGGCTCATGCCTGTAATCCCAGTACTGGGGGACTCCGAGGTGGGCGGATCACTTGATGTCGGGAGTTCAAGACCAGCCTGGCCAACATAGTAAAAACCCAGTCTCTACTAAAAATACAAAATTAGCCAGGCAAGGTAGCAGGCACCTGTAGTCCCAGCTACTTGGGAGGCTGAGGCAGGAGAACTGCTTGAACCTGGGAGGCAGAGGTTGTGGTGAGCTGAGATCATGCCACTGCACTCCAGCCTGGGCAACACAGAGAAAAGAAAAAAATAAAAAGAAAGAAAGAAACCAGCTGGGTGCAGTGGCTCACGTCTGTAATCCCAGCACTTTGGGAGGCCAAAGCAGGTGGATCAGGAGGTCAGGAGTTCGAGACTAGCCTGGCCAGCATGGTGAAACCTCATCTCTACTAAAAATACAAAAAATTAGCTGGGCTTGGTGGCGGGTGCCTGTAAACCTAGCTACTTGGGGAGCTGAGGCAGGAGAATAGCTTGAACCCAGGAGGCAGAGGTTGTAACAAGCTGAGATCACACTGCTGCACGCCAGCCTGGACGACAGTGTGAGACTCCAACTCAAAAAAAAAAACAACAACAACATAAGAAATAAACATAGTTGTATTACTACACTGAGATTTAGGAGTTCTATGTTACTGCATCATAGCCCAACTCATCTTGAGCAAATATAGCTATGCCTGTCACTGGGGTAGAGATCAGATCCCTCGATCACCTTTAGAGGTGGACCATGGCTTAGAGAAAACAGGTTAAGTTTCTTCCTGCATGGATGCTTAAAGTACCAATGAGAATGGGGATGGGGTTATAGAGCCTTGCCTCTGGTTTCACCTCAATCATGACTAGTTACGCCTTGGGCAATTTGTTGGAATGGTTGTGTGAGAAAATAAGTAAAATTCCTCATGCACTTTTTAAGTCTATGGGAATGATTGATGTGCCCCATGTCTACTACTGAGGGCTAGTCACAGATGTAATTATGATCATTACTACAGGGCACATCTTATGGAAAACAAGTCAGTTGTAAACAAAGGTATACATGTTGTCAAGTGTGGCGGCTTGTGCCTAGAATTCCAGCAACCCAGGAGGCTGAGGCAGGAGGATCGCTTGAGGCCAGGAGTTGGAAAACAACTTGGGCAACATAGTGAGGCCTCCTCTCCACAAAAAGTTAGAAAACAATTGCCAGGCATGGTGGTGTATACCTGAAGACCCAGCTACTCAGGATGTTGAGGCAGGTGAGAGGTTCATTTGAACCCAGGAGTTCAAGGCTGCAGTGAGCTATGATCACACCACTGCACTCCAGCCTGGATGATATAGCAAGACTCCTTCTCTCTACATACGTATATAAAAAGAAACCTAGCTGGCAACTGTGGCTCACACCTATAATCCCAGCACTTTTGGAGACCAAAACAGGAAGACTGGTTGAGTCCAGGAGTTTGAGACAAACCTGGGCAACATAGTGAGACCCCATCTCTATAAAAAATAAAAAATTAGCCTGGTGTGGTGGCACACACCTGTAGTCCCAGCTACTTAGGAGGCTGAAGTGGGAGGATTTCTTGAGCCTGGGAGATCAAGGCTGCAATAGGCATGATTGTGCCACTGCACTCAGGCTGGGTGATGGAGTGAGACCTTGTCTTAGAATAAAAAATAAAAAAGCCCTTTTCTTTGTAAAGTACCCAGTCTCAGGTATAGAAACACAAAACAAATTAAGACAGTGAATTAATGCCCCAGCCTCCAACCTGTAGTAGAACAATTCTGAGACGCCTTCCACATAGTTTCTCAGAGAGTACACAGAGCAAGTGATCGCCCAGCTGGAGGGTACTGGTGTGAGGAGAACTCACTACAGCCTTGACCTCCCAGGCCCAAGTGACCCCTCCACTTCAGCCTCCTGAGTAGCTGGGACTACAGGTAGACACCATGACGCCTAAGTTTTTTTTACTTTTTATTTTTGTAGAGACAGAGTCTCACTATCTTGCCAGGGCTGGTCTTGAACTCATGGGCTCAATCGATCCTCCCACCTTGGTCTCCCAAAGTGCTGGTATTGCAGGTGTGAAGCACTGTGCCCAGTTCCTTCTTAACATTTCTATCTTCTCTACCTCATTTTTGCCCACCTCCACTCGTGCTTCCTGGGATCACCTCATTTGGACTCAAGTCTTTGTCTCAGGATCTCTATTATTCAAGGTTCTCCAGAGGCACAGACCTGTAGGATATATCTTGGCTCACGTGATTATGGAGGCCGGCAAGTCCAAAATCTGCAGAGCCAATGTCCCAGCCCAATGGTTGTCAGGCAAAAAGAGCTGATGTGCCAGTTGAAAAGCCATTGGGCAGGAGAATTCTCTCTTCCTTGGGGAAGGTCAGCATTTTGCTTTATTTCTGCCTGCAACTGATTAGATGAGGCCCACCCACATAATAGAAGGCAATCAGCTTTACTCAATCTACCAATTTAAATGTTAATCTCATCTAAAACACCCTCACAGAAACACTCAGAATACTATTTAACCAAATATCTGGGCACCCATGTCCCAATAAAGTTGACACATAAAATTGACCCTCACAGACACCAAGTGTAGTTGATCATTTTGGAAAACATTCAACTCATAGCAAGCGTGGAAACCTCTAAGGAGCGTATTTTGTGTGAACCATTCAACCTCAGGAATCATACATTTCGCTCACTGATCCCTTGTTCACATTCCAGTTCATAGAATTCTGGGCCCCATTAAGGAGACGTTCCAGTCCTCAGGCAAAACCAGAGCTGGCCCTGCCATCCATGAGTGTGAGACGGGAAGAGCTGTGGTCCAGGATGGAACGAAAGTTATAATGCATATACTGGCTGTCGGTACATGCTCAGATCTTCAGGTATGCGTTGTCTCTTTCTCTGGAGTGGGCACTTACTGCAACTAACGGGAGGCTGGCCAGTTGTTTCACTACCTGCCCCGCTTTCCTCAGCTCTTTTGGGGGGGTCCCAAAGTCCTCCTGCAGTAGTCAAAAGGGCCCCAATTACTATCGCTGTCCCTGGTGCTGACCAAACGCTAAGACCTCAGCGTTGCGGCGTTGGGGCCATTGGTACTTGGTGCTGCTCAGTTACTCTTCTGTTTTCTTCTCCCCACGCCTCCACGCCCCCCATCTCTCTCTCTTTCTTTCCTCAAGGAAATGCTGCAGATTGAGAGCGTGCTTTTGAAGCATAGACTAGACTTCGAGAATGAACGTGGCATTTTGGCTCTTGCTGAAGTGCCTTGTGATTTCGGGTACTGGCCTGTGTATCCCCACTCACACTGAAGAATCAACACTTCCTTGCTGATCAATATTCCCAGAGCTGGTGGCCTAGCAAGGACTGAAGCTGATGTTTACCTCCCCCTCTCCTGCGGCAGAGATGCCCCCGCCCCTGCGGCTCCGGGAAGTGCCAGGGGTCCCTGGGAAGGCGGGAGATGGGGATGGGGCAGGGTGAGAGGGCAGTAGGCTGCGTCTGCACGTGGGCTTGGGAAGCCGGGCTTCCGGGCCGCGGGGTCGTGGGGGCGGGTGTGATGCAATCGCGCCACAGCCGCTGCGTCAAGGGGCGGCTCCGGGATGCGGGGACTGCGGTAGAGCCGATCCCGCCCCCGCCGCCCGCCGCCGATCACCGCTCTCACCGCCGCCGCCGGCCTCCCGGGTCCCCCGCGGGGACGACCACCCAGAGCCACCGGAGGCCCCGGACACCCGGCCCGAGGCACCGGTAACCCGCGGATTCGCCCCGGGGCGCGTCATGAAGTCGGCTGCAAGCTCGCGCGGGGGCGGTGGGGGAGGCCGCGGGGGTGGCAGCTGGGGCGGCTGGAGCGGAGGCCGAGGCGGAGGCGGCGGCGGCGGCGGCGGCGGCGGCGG